ACTAACTACAAACTAGTAACTCCCACGATTACACGCAACATGGAATGAAACAAGGGTCAATTGCAAAAATAAAAATCCAACATAATGCCTTCTTCTTATTTTGCTAATAGAGAGAAGAAAAATAGAGTAGCAGAACAAGGACAGAGAATCCTCTGCTGCTCGTGACAGAAAGACAAATGAAAAAGGAAGAATATTGAGAACAAGGATCCTATTGCTGCATCCTAACTTAATACTTCTGTTTTCCGGCGAGGAAAAACTGGTGTTTGAACACAATGGATGCACCTTGACTTCTTGAACAACGATTCTAAACACGGTTCACACCTCTCCGAACAATGTTCGAACGAGGGTGTTTGATGTTCTGATGGTTTTTTGGGAACAAGCTAAGTTATGTTACTCTACTCCTATGGAGGTTCAGTGAGAGCTCCGAAAACTAAGGCTATGGCTAATTGGCAGAGAAAAAGATAAAGTTTGACATAGTGTGTCAAATGGTTGGTTGTGGAACCCTTGCTTCGTCTTCGTTTCTCCTATTTATAGTCATCCCTTGTAACCGTCGTGCAACCGCCTCTTGGTAACCGCTGCTCCACTGCTTGGTGTTTGATGTAGCTTGTTTGATGCATTGACTGCTTGCGTGCTTGCCACTTGATAGCTAACCCCTTGTGCCATGGAGGTGTCTTGTTTGGTGAGTGAAGGCTTCACGCTTGGTGGTACTCGTGCTAACCACCTTGACATGACGTCATGCTCGACACCAGGGTGCTTGGGGGTTCGATGGATCCGCACTGACCCCCTTGGGGTGGCATCATGCTTGACACCCTAGTGCTTGACCCCTTTGGACGGTGTCATGCATGACCCCCCTGGTGCAAGGTAGGTAGATGGCATAGTGCTTGACCCCCCTTGTGCTATGGGTCTCAACACTTAGCCAAATTTTGGCTTTCTTTGCCACCACAGTTAGCTCGCGTCTCGTCATACTCAACTCACATTGGATGGTATCATGCTTGACCCCTTTGGACGGTGTCATGCATGACCCCCCTTGTGCTGTGGGTCTCAACACTTAGCCAATATTTTGGCTGTCTCAACACACATCATGCTTGACCCCATTGGATGGTGTCATGCTTGACTCCCCTTGTACGAGACCCCCCTTGGACGATGTCATGCATGACCCCCCTTGTGCTTGACCCCCTTGGATGGTGTCATGCATGACCCCTCTTGTGCTGTGGGTCTGAACACTTAGCCAAATTTTGGCTTTCTTCGCCCCATCATGTTTAGGGGTAATTACCCGCGAGGTAGGTGTCATGCATGACCCCCTTTGTGCTTGACCCCTTGGACAGTGTCATGCATAACCTCCCTTGCGGTGGCATGCTTGACCCCCTTGTGCTGTGGGTCTCAACACTTAGCCAATATTTTGGCTCTTTTTGCCACCACACGGCCTGCGTGACGGATGGGTGTTTGGTGGGTCAAGTAGTGTGTGTTGAGGTACCTGGTATGAAGCCCAAAATACCATCATTTAGGCCCAACTTAAACCAATTTAATTAATATGGTTAAGTTGGCCTTATAAATCACTACCACTCCTTGAAAATAAGCAATGTGGTATTGAGTGATTTTTTAGTGGTAAACAACTTCATAGGCCAAAAGGAAAACCCAGAGACATTCAAGACTAAAATGACCCGAAACTGTGTCATGTTCAAAATACACACGATCGAACTACCTGAAAGTCTTCGTTGGAGAAAGCCGCTGCCTCCAAGGAACTTCATATTCGAAATTTGACGCTTCCAACAAGGGACGACGTAGAGGGATGGAAATTATCTTTTTCTTTGGATCGTGTGGTACGGTGACGACGGAGCAGTTCGACGGAGACAGAGTGCCGGTCGGTCAAGGGATTTGTTTGATTTCCTTTTCTCATGAAAAATGTAGGAGAAAGACGGTTGAGTTTAGTGGATGCTTATGTTCGAGACTCGAGATTGAATCAGCGATTGAGAATTTCGGTGGAACTTCTTATCACCTTCCGTCGGAGCAGGAAAGCGAGGAAGACGACGAACGGACTCAGGGCTTCGTTTTTCCTATTTTGTTTTTGTTGCTCGAAAAAAACATTTTAAATGAATTAATGGAAAAATAATTAAAAGGAAAACGGAACCAGAGATGGGAAGACGGAACAACACAAGAATCCAGTACTTGGCCCAATGGCGATTTCGGCCGGTTGATAGCCGCGTCTAGGCTGGGTATAAACTTAACCAGTGCCACATCAGCTCCATGTGGCCCAATCAAAATCAGCGTCACTGGTGCCGCAATTTTTATAGCGGCACCGTAGTATTGGCCTTAAGGAACGCGTTAGAATCATTACTAAATAAGTAAAGATTGAGTAATCACTGTACTAAAATCTACATTTGTCATTATTTTTATTTAATTTTATTTTTAAATTGAAGGTGAAAATTAGATCAAGGATAATTTTGAGAATAAATAAAATACCACACCTGATTTCTACCATTTAAAAATTAATTTCTATATACTATACATAAACTCTACTCCAACCCATTCTCTATCGCCGTCAACACCTCTCCTGTTGGTGGTTCCCTTCCTCCGCTGGCGGCCACCCTCCCAAAGTTGGCCACCCTTGACCACCCTCCCTCCGGCTACCCTCGCCCACCGCTCCGGGCACCCCCCTTCTATGGGAGACGCCCGGCACCGACCATCCCTCCCTCTCTCTGACCCTCCCGATCCCCCATCTATCTATCTTCCCTTCCGTTCTTCTTCCGTAGGGAACCCTTCCATAGCTCCCGATTTTTATATGTCTTTGGGCCGCAACGACAACAACAGGAAGGAGGATATTCAATTACTTCCAATAGGTTTGTGGCGTAACGGAGGTGCGAGGTTGGGGATTGGTATATATTTTTGGGAATTAGTATCCATTTTTGTATTGGTATTGTTTTTTTATTGGTATTGATTATCATAGCAATGGTATTGTTTTTGTCGCAATGGTATTGATTTTGTCGCATTGGTATTGGTATTCTGTGAAATGGTAATGTTTTTATTTCTCGAATGGTATTGGTGTTTTGTGCAATGATAGTGTTTTTTAATGGATTGGTATTGATTTATTGTTAAAGCGGTATTAGTTTGGCTAAACGAAATCAATGAAAAGATTGAGAAAAAGAAGAGAGATCTAGCTAAAAATTGTGGAAGTGAGAGAAAGACAGAAAATTATAGTTAATATATTTTTTTAACTTTCTAAAATGTAATTTATTAAAAAAATAATTAATAAATTTTTTCATTCCCAATTTGCCCTTAATAATCACCTCTCGAACATATATGGGTGCATTATTTAAGGGCTATAGTAGGGGCTTCTTTGGACTGGATGGGAGCTCAATTCATTAGATAGGTTGGGCCACACAAGGAATAATAAAAACTGCCTTATTTTTCTTCTAGTACGGAAAGAACCAAACCCAATTTGACAACACAAGTTTAATCAACCTGCATAGTCCATCTTTTCTACTAATTTTCTATCAACCTTGTGAGCGTTTCCCCTTCCCTGGAAAGCCTAGCTTTAGGTTTTCCTAGGGTTTTACATAGGCAGCCGTCAGGGGACTACACAGTTAAGTCTGCTTATAGACTTTGATTTAATCAGAATGAAGAAGAGAGGGGAGTGATTTATTCCCCTAGTAAACTGTGCTAGACTATGGAAGCTTGACATCCCACATAAAGTAAAGGTTTTTGCTTGGAAGTGGTTGCGCAATATACTCCCTACGGGAGCTCGAATTGTGGAACGAACTCAAAAGGGAAGCAAAGGCTGCCCCTTCTGTGACCTTAAAGAAACACAAAATCATATTTTCAAGGAATGTGGCTGGGTTCAACGAGTATGGAGGCCTAGTTCGATCATTTCTATGTTCAATCAAGGTGAGAATCTAACCTCAGAGGAGTGGTTCTGCAAGCTGCAAGAGAACGAGGCGGGCGAACAAATTGGGCGATTCCTTGTAGCTTTATGGTTTATCTGGGATCAAAGGAATTGCAGTTATGGAACAAGCCTAAGATGGAGGAATGAGAGATAATGGGTCGAGCAAGCAGATGGATTGACGAATACCTGGAGGGTTAACGGAAGAGGGATCCCACTCATAGTGAACCACCTGCGAAATGGTCCCTATTGAGAGAAGTAGATTTCACCATTAATGTCGATGCGCCTTGTCTCCCGGATCGAGGAAGGGATGGGGATGGTTGTCAGGGACAGATCCGGTGGCTTTCGCATGGTGGCGGTCAGACGGACGCATCAGTAGTGGGAGCCGGAGATTGCAGAGGCTATGGCGGTGGATTTCGGTGTGAAAATGGCTGGTCGATATCATTTCTCTGTCAATGCTATCCAAATGGATGGCCAGGTGGCGAAAATAACACTGCGAGGGGATCGACGAACAAGTTTGGAGCTGGGCCGAGTCTGTGAGGAAATAAAGAAGAAGGCTACTGGGTTGGGCTCTTTTCTTGGAATTTTGTGGGTAGAAAAATTAATGACCGACCCACTTTACTGCCCATGTCGAATGTGATTGGAAGAGGGAGGAAGTATGGGTAGATAATCCACCATCTTTTCTTGCTCCTCTCTAACAGAAAGATGAGGTTGTACCTTTTTACCCCATAAATTAATTAAAGCATGAGTTTTTCTAAAAAAAACCTACATGGACAATTTTTGTACATAATCCGATTTGATATGGAGAATAGGGTGGAGAAGAGTATACTACACCTTTGGTTCATATGATATATATGCATACAACCGACTCTCATGATTTTGTCGGTTATTCATTCAAGCCGGCGTAACCTTTCAGGCGTGTAACAATTACGGTCACTCGTCATCAAAAGATATTTCCAGAAAACGAAAAAATTAATATGACGATTTATAATAGAAACAGAATACGATCTTGCACTAAGCGAATTCTCATTATCCTCACTAATATCCAGACGCACCTTCACAAGTCACAACTAATCTTACTACCTTATTTAATCACGAAACAGTACAAACACTAGGTAGCAATCTAACTGTCATTAAAGGGGTAACAATCGTCATAAAGTTTGGCTTTTTCGTCATAAAAACAAGGCCCGTTGTGGAAAATGGCCCACTTGCAGTCGGTGCAGCGCTGCTCGTCCCTCTTCTCGTCGTAGATGTCGAAGTACTTCTTGCCGCCGCTGCCGTCCCACTCAAACGAACAGAAGAACAGCGTGTTCGGGATATAATTGGGATAGAAAGTCCAGCCGAAGGAATCATCAAACGCCAGCGATTTCTCTCCGATGTCGTCGTCTTTGGACTTGCAGTGCGCTGTCAGCTGCACTTTGAGCCCGTTGGTTATTTGCACCGTCGTCTTGTCGGTCAGCGTCTGCCCTTCCTCTGCCGTTGTTGGCGAAGGTCCCATTATCAGTATTGCCATCACCATCCATGCTTTCGTCGCTAAAGATGCTGCAACCGTCGTCATTGGTATGTTTTGTTTTCCGTCGCTGAATTGGCTGAGTTTGTGGGGTTTTCGTTGCTATATGGGTGAAGGGTATTTATAGGGACGGGATGGGGAGGTAAAGAGTTGTATATATGAAATGGTTTTTGTTTTCTTGTTAAGCTGTTGTGAGTAATTACTGTGCTGATATGAAAATTTCGATGACTTTGGCAACTTTTAAATGACTATTTGATTGCGGAGTTGACTGATAATTAAGATGAATTAAAGGATCAAATCTCTACAACAACCCAAGAGCAACTTTACAGATGGATTTATAGTTTATACCATGCGTCATGAGTAGGTAATGCGAGGATGTGGAAATTTAATTATAATTATTACCGAGGTTCGAAAAAGCTATAGTCGTAAGGTGGATGTTGAGACTCTTGCCTAACGCTTAAAATGTTTAGGTGTCGCCTAGACGTGTCTAAATGTTGAATATAAACGTATCAAAATAACTAACACTTGCCTAGAATTACGAGTTTATGAATTAATATCATCAGTGTCTACCTCCCATTTCTAAATCCTCATCCACAACACATGATAAAATATAAAACATAGTGGAGCAGATTGAGAGAGGAGCACAAAAAAGAAAGAAATATCTACTCTAAAGATGGTCACCTCTAATTCTAGCCTAGCGAGTCGGGAGATGAAGAAGAAAAAGGGTGGACATTCTTATTCTCTCTAACCTAGTAACATATCAAAATAACGCAGACAGAAAATTCAAGGATTCGCAAGCTCTAAATCCACGGTAAAAATTAGAGTTCGCAAGTCACAAACTTGGTTAGAAACTCCAGAATCCACCGGAACAAACCCCTAAGGTTGAATAGTTTGGTAAAAGCCAAAATGTTGTCCTTCCTACGCAAACAATCACTTACATACTATGGTCCGACTTACCCTTCCCGAAAGTGATTAGGAAAAATAAAGAAAATTACAATAATAAATAAAAGGTTTAATATTTGTATATCCAAAACTTTTACGGTTGTGTCAATAATATCCAAATTTTTCGGAATACCACTTATATCCATGTTTTAAAGTTGTTCTTTGCCAAATCTATTCATTTCTCTAAATATTTTTAGTTAAATACACTTGTATATCCAAAAACACCGTTAAAGAATGTGAAGGAATTGGATATAAGTGGTATTTCGGAAAATTTGGATATTATTGGCACAACCGTGAAAGTTTTGGATATACAAGTGTATTTAACCTAAATAAAATAAAGCAAATAAACCAAAATGGCCAACCATGCATGCCGATTTTCGTTGCCGACGCCAACTCCTTCTCCAACCGGGCTGCTTCCTCGATCTTACCCTCAAGCTGCGTCGCATCAGTCTCCTCCACCCGTAAAGAACTCGGCCCCGAGTTCCTATCAGAATACATCAGACCATCATCATAGAACTCGTAGAGATCAACCACATTGAAAGTGTTGGATGTATTCATGTTAGCCGGTAATTAATCGACGACATAAGCATTGTTATTAATTTTTTGCAACACCTTGAAGGGGTCATACTTGGGAGGTTGGAGTTTAGAATAAGTACCTACAGGAAACCTTTCCTTGCACAAAAGCACCATCACCTCATCTCCATTCAGAAAAAACCTAAGCCCGTCGGTGAACATCAGCAACAGCTTTGTTTTGCCGACCAGTCGCCTCCGGCTTGACTTTAACACTGTGTTTGACAACCTGCAAGTTGTGGGCCATGTCAACAACGGCTCTACTCACTCGAGAAGCCTTGGAAATCGGGACCAAGTCCACCACATGATGAGGCGGGGAAGTGTAAACGATGGAAAAGGACGACTTGCCCGTTGTCGAATGTACCGCACTGTTGCAGGCAAATTCAGTTTGGGGTAAAAATAAGTCCCACTGCCACGGCTTATCTTCGCAAATGCTCTGAACCATGTTACCCAGTGTCCTGTTGGTGACCTCCTTCTATCCGTTAGTCTGCGGATGAGCCGTAAAACTCCGATTCAACGCACTACCATACAACTTACATAAGGTACGTAAGGGGTCGTTTGGAAGTTGTGATTTCAAATGGGTATTGATCTAATTCATGTATTTGTGAGATTAAGTTATTTTTTTGGTTTATATAGAACTAGAATACATGCATTTACTTTTAATAATACCAAGAAGGAATGTGATTTAACGAAGGAAAAAAAACTTATTTTCTATACCTCTTTTTGTCCTTTCAATTTTGTTACAGAAAATAATTTATAGTCAGACTCACAAGTCACAACTCACAGTTAACAAGCTGGCATCCTCACAATCATTAGCAACCTTCCAACAATAAAACCTGCTCCCTCTTGGCCTCCTCCATATATAACTACAAAAGCAAAACAACTAGCCAAAAGAGCTATTCAGCACTTTGCCTGCATGTTCAAGCTCGTCATGTGATTAATAAATAAATTATGGACAAGCACAGTAAATGACTAAGAAATGAATATGGCAGCAGTACACACAGAAGAAGAGGACAATGTTGTCTCCTCTCCCTTTGAAATGACGTTCTAACTTGTCCAAGAGCATTATACATAAAATAATATAATAATTAATCAGATTTAGTCTTCAACATGATATAATGTATTACATTCTATGCATTTATATATACACACAAATAGTTCAACCTCTCCCACTGATGATGATGGGAATCTCTCATCACAAAACAATGACAAACAGACTGGAAGTTCATGAAGAAACCAAAAACAAGGAGGAATTCATTTTCCTTTATGGTAAATTTTGCAAATTTTGACCCATCTGGCAGAAAGACATCTCTCTCTTACCCTTTGTTCCTTCTGTAGCTAAAAAGAATAATCTGCAGTATTAGCTATCTGAAGATCCACCACATGTTTCTGTGAGACTTGGATTCAGCTAGCTAGATCTTCTAGAAGGAAGAAACCCAGTTAAGCAAGTGCTTATTAGCTAGCTTTCTGATGAAATCTTGGACCTAGCTTTTTGGTAATCTGGCTGGCAGCTCCCTTTGGTCTTTAAGTTAATCAAAAGTCTCCCATTTCGTTGTCACCACAACTGCCTCACACTGCTTTACTACTTGCAATTGATCAACTGTCACATCCTCTGCCTTGGCCTCAACTTTCTGCTGCTGTTGCTGCTGCATTGTTGCTGTTTGTGCTACCAATTTGCTGCCATTGCTTGAAGAGCCAATCTCCAGTTTCAACATATCAAGAGTCTCAATGTTCTTCTGAACCCTCCTTTCCTGTCAAAACATATAACAATGTAAGAAAGAGGTGAGTATGTGCAATTCTGCTATTATGAAAATAGGGGCACAATTTACTTTACAAGCTGATACAGTTAAATTAACCCACGTAGGTTGGATGTGCGTATTGACATGTCTGTAAATCATGTCAACACGCACATCCAACGATTCAAATCGTGTCCGAATCATCCACCCTTGTCAGCAGAGTAGTGACAATTTGGTGCATGGCAAACAAAATAACCTGAGTTGTTTTCTGCAATTTCAAGCTTCCATCCACCGAAACCCCATCCATTTCCACCAACTTGGTCATCAAAGCTTCAGTTAGATCATCTATATCCTTCTCAGAAACAATCCCACCTTTGGAACTCGTTGCTTCAAGGGATGTCACCTTGTGAGTCAGCGAGTTGACCTCGGTGGTGATGTGGTTAATGGATTTGGAAGCCTTGTGCAATCTAGACGATTTGAGCATCTCCAAACTCCGCCTCTCCCTGCAGGTGATGTCCTCGATTAGGACAATCTTTGATCCGTTTTTCACCTTGGTAACATCCAAATACGCCTTGGAATCCATCTCTTTCTTCTTGTACATCAGCTTCTGGTCTTCTGGGTGGACTCCTGTTTCCCCTGCCAGCATTTTCTTCAGTTCCCCTGCATATGGAACAGCCAGAGTTTGATAAACAAACATCAATGACAGAAAACTTTGGATGTGGTTAGGATTGATTTTTGGGGTTTTACCAAAGCTTGCTTGGGAACTGATGGAGACATTGTGATATGAAGAGCCAAAATTGACTATGACTGTGATCATGGGAACAATTGGGAGAGTATGAGAGTTGTTGTTGCTCTTCTGAACCAACATTCCACCGGGCCTCATTTCCCATTCCTCCATTCTAATTTCATCTTTCACAGAGCTGTTCTTCTTCTCGGTGGTGTTCGGTGCCATGACAAATAGTGATTCCTTCTTCATTGCCTCCATGTCTTCATGAAATTCTTCTTTTGGTGATGGAAAATGGGGTAAAGATGCAAACTTTGGTTGAGATTGAGGTGACCCAGTTGGTGAAGAAACATGGGTTGGTTCGCTCTTACCTTAAGAGCCACCACAACAATGGTGGCAAAAAAAAAATCTTCAAAAGAGCATGTGTTAGAGAGAGAGAGAGAGAGAGAGAGAGAGAGAGAGAGAGAGAGGGAATAATGAAATGTGCTTATTCTCAGACATACTATGGAGAAAGCAGAAAGGTGAGGCAGCCGGGGGGAAGGAGAAGGAAGGAGAGGAGAAAAGAAACATTGGTCACTGAGATTACAAAAAACGTTCAAGTTTGGTCATTCGAAATATTTAAATTTATTGGTGGTCCTTCAGTTTACTGAAACCGTTCACGTTTGGCCACTCTCCGTCCAATTCCGTTAACTTTTGCTTATGCGGCGATCAACTTTAAAAGTTGACCGTTAAGTGAGTGATGTGGCAATTAAAAATTTAATAAAATAAGAAAATTTAATCTTTTATAATTTTCACCTCATTTTTACAATAAATTAAACTAAAACCAAAATTGAAATTGAATGCGAAACCCCTCTCCCTCCGTACCAGTCATACATGGTCTCCCCTTTACCCAATTTTCGGTGGGTGCTTTCTGCTCTCCCCAGCCACACGATCTCAGCGTTGTCATCCCCGAGATTCCTTACCATCCCTCGGAAGTTCTACCGCCCCATTCTTCTTCGGCAGCAAATCAATCGGCCGCCATAGTGTTCTTACCAATCGATTCACTATTATCCCCCTAATTCCATTCACCAACCGTCCTACCGATCCTTCTCGCCTTCGGCAACACAATTCCGCCACTGTCACCCCCTCTCATGCCTTCGACCCCTGCAGACCACTCTCTGCCGCCATTACTACTATCTCCATGGCCTACCAATTCGCACTCGACGGCAACTAGGGGAAGTTGTGATTGTCGGTTCCATTGCTTTGTTGAACCGAAAGATGGATAGTGGGAGCAGTAGTTTTGGGTTTAGGAAAGTGGTTTGGTTTTTCTGAAGCAGTAATGGTGGTTTTGGGTCTAGGAAAGTGGGTTGGCTTTCTTGAAGCAGTAGAATTGCTACTGGGAATCTCTCCGTCTGGCATGTGTGGCTTCTTCATAGGTGGGATTGCAATGTGCAACACAGGAATTGGAGGTGTTGGTTCGCTAGGAACATGGCTTTCCATGTTTGGAAGATGTCGGAGGTGAGTTGCAACCCTAATTTGAAATTCACCATTCTGTTACAACCGCCGCCGCCATATCCTAACCCTAATTCTTGCGGATCCAGGCGACGACTCTCGTGAGGGAGTCAGGGTGAGCGTTGGGAGAAGACCTGGCGGACGTAGGATGAGAGGCGGGAGATGAAGTTGCAGAAGGTCGTCGTTCTCCTCCGCTTCCTCGAGGCGCTGAGCGAGGCCGTGTTCATAGAGCAGGATAGAGCAGGATTTGAACGCGCAGGCTGGATTCGCTCCCTGTTTGGCTTTAGCGATCGATTCCGCGGCAGATTCAGATCCCGACCAACTCGGTACCTGGGATCGTTCCGATGAACTGTTTGTGGCCGAGGTTGAGTATCCGTTTTTGGCCAAAAACGCGGCGGCGGAGAAGAGGAGAGAGGATTCCTGTTTGTTGTTAATTTTAATAATTTATAATTTTTATTTTTATCTTTTTAATAGTTAGAAATGACGTGGAAATTATAAAAGATTAAATTTTATTATTTTATTAATTTTTTAATTGCCACATCACTCACTTAACGGTCAACTTTTAAAGTTGACCGCCACATAAGCAAAAGTTAACGGAGTTGGACGGAGAGTGACCAAACGTGAACGGTTTCAGTAAACTGAAGGACCACCAATAGATTTAAATATTTCGAGTGACCAAACTTGAACATTTTTTGTAATCTCGGTGACCAACCATGCAATTAACCCTAAGAATGGCCATCAAAGGAAAGGACAAAGGAAGTCTATGTGGGGGGAGAGGAAATTGAAAGTTTGTTTCTACTTATTTCTTGTTAATAGTTGAAACCATTAGTCCTTTGAATAATTACAGTACTGTTTTGTAAAAGTACCGATAAATATTTATCCTTAAATTCTGTAATTTAAAATCATTTATAAATAACATCTGTAATAATTCATAAACTTGTGAGGTCCTCGAAATTCATTTCTTTGTGTGTGTGAGTTTGTTATGGATGTAAATTGTAAGAATAAATAGATGGAGTTGATTGGTTCGGAAAATTTGATAAATTCTCATATATGGTTCTATTCTATCTATCTAATGGGGAACATAAAAATAGCTGGAGACAAGGAAAAAAAATAAAAAGGGATGTGGACCTTGGGCTGGGCCACAGGCCAACAAGCCATAAACACTGAAGAGAGAAAAGAAAAGCCAATAAATTGCACCCAAAGGAGAAAAAGAAAATCAACAGCCAGTTGGCATCTGTCTGTCTGCCTAATTGTTCGGTAATGCTCACACTTTCTTGGCTTTTCTTTTTAGATGTCAGGAAAATATTTTGTACATCCTTGCCACTGGTTTGGCCTTTTTCAATCGGAGTTTCCAGCTTTTTAGCTTCTCCTGCCTTTATGGCCTTTCGTTGTCCTGTTCTAGGGTTCTTTCTGGATTTGCTCTCCTTGGAGTTGGGTTATGCATCTAGAGGTCTCCTATTTAGATGGTGGGTTCAACAACATGCATGGTGAATCGATTCATTGTTTTTCCCTCCGTTCCCCCTGTTGGTAGTCATCTGCCTCTTGGTCGGCGTCGGTGGAAGGAAGGCGATGTCTGGCCCTTCTGACTGCGGTTTCAGAACTTGGATTTTGGAGTTTGGGTTCCTCTTCTCCCTTGACCAAGTTCTTGGTGCCTCGTCTTCCTCTGCTTTTTCAGCTCGGAGCATTTCGATCCTCTACCCTTTCCACCGCCATGTAATCCCTCACAAGAGATTCACTGTGTTGAGCGTCTTCGAGCGACTCCCAGGAGGCGGCATTTGGCGTTGTATTCAATTGCCATGGACTCGGTCGGATCGGACGAGCTGATTATGCTTGGTGCTCTTTGATTGGTTTGTTTGCAAGGGAGCTTTCGGTGTCTTCTGGATCTGATTCAAGTGTTGCTGATGTTTTGGGTTGATATTTTCTGTGTTCTATTCTTCTCTTTTTGTATTTCTTTTACACAGATTGTACAACCGTGTGCTTGTGTTTGGCTTGCCTTGATCTTTTCTACGCTTCTTTGTTTGGCTTCCCTTGTAACTTTTCTTTCAAAGAGCAATGCAAGTAAATCCTTTGTAAAAAAAACGTTAATTTTAATAGTCCAATCTAGTCCTTCATACCAGTACCTCTTCAGTTGAATCACGACTCAACTTCGTCCTTGTCGATCTATATTTCTCCTTGTCTAGTATCCAAACTCATAGAAGACAATATAGGAACATGTCCGAAACTCACTTAGTTTTTGTTTCTTCTTGGTGACTTCTCGTTGAATTTAGGGTTTGCAGCAATGTTGTCAAAACCGAACCGGAGCATGACCCGGTAATGCGAACGGTTTACACTTTAGTGGTCCAACCGGCATTAGACCGTTTAAAAGCCGTTAGAGAACTGGTACCTAATAAACGCTATCAGTATAAATAGTGCACATTTCTTAATCAGAACTCGTCTCTTTCCTTCGAAATTGTGAAATGGAAATAAGGATTCAGTTTGAGAGTCCGTCGTTTTTGGTTTATTTTAATTTTCAATTTTTTGTAAATTTTTTAATTAAATTTAACGGCTAAATGAAAAAAACCAGATGAGCGGCTCGAGCGGTTAACCGCCTCGGCCGCTCGTCAACCGCTACATAAAACCGAAGCGGCTTTTAGACTGTTCCGAGCCATTTTTGTGACCGGGTGGCGGTTTTATCGGTCGGGCCGAGCGGTTCGGCTCGACTTTAATAACATTGGTTTGAAGTCTAAATTATGAAAAATATGGAGAGTTTTCATTTAATCTGGTCCTAGATTACGAGTTCTTATATTTTTTTGGTTTTTTTTTCTTGGTCCTGCTTACTCAAATGGGATTTCTATTCTAGATGAATAGCTAATGAGATTCAGAAGGAGAATAATAATGCAAGGGTGTTTTGACAGTGTTGTCTTCAGCCTCATAAATGTCCATATTGTCATAGACTTGTAGCCATTATTCCTTGCAATGCAGAGTAGCTGAAAAGTCCAATATCAGCCCAGTACTAGAGATTAGCTGTAATTGCAGTTGGTACGTTTTGGAACTTTGATTTTAAAATGATCAGTCAATTCAAACTGGGAAGCTGCCCCACTAATTATGTCCTTTGAGGAATGATTATGGGGTTAATTCTGGTTACTGTGGTTTTTATCCATTAACTGCAGAGATAACAACTGATCGAGTCGGAAGTAGATAGTGCATATTCGTTATCCTATTCAAATTAGTTTGGGTTTTACCTATACCAATACTCAAATGAGAATCGGGTAGAAAATTAAAACTATGTCCATACTCGTTCGGATTTCAGGTATTCTCAATTATCCATGAACATAATTTATCTTTTCGTTTGGATGCATCATTTTGGTTATTTGGTATTTCGAATCAAAATGTTGCATTATTTTGCTATGTGGCATTTCATGTGACATAGCAATTTGGAATGTGGTAATTTTGTCAATTGTCTTGTTTTGATAAAACATTCAATATTTGTTTTATTTCACCACCTAGAGAAGTGATGTAGTTAAAATAGAGGTTGAGAGATGAGTTATTTGAAATAACTAGGGGGTGGGTATGTATTTCAAATAACTCACAATGAGTTACTGCAATTGCCTCGTGGACAAAATACTACATTCCATTTTATTTTTGCCAAACGAGTTATTTTGGCCGAAATACTGACTTATTTCAGCCGAAATACCTCATCAAAACACTTCATCCAAACGACCCGTTTATAACTCCAACCAACATGTTAACATTAACATGTGTACTCACATTACACAAGTGGATAAGTAGGACAATAAATCATTATAATGGGGAAAAAACACAATTCCATGAAAAATGTTATATTTGCAAGCAAGAAGGCCTGATTTATTTAAAGGAGGAACTCGAAGGGCTTATACATCCAGAGTACCACCAGCAAAATCTTCTACTGAAAAATCCCAAACACCTCCAGAACACCCTGCGATTCATATTTGTCCC